GATATTGAATTGAGTTAGAACAGCTGAGCTGGAGCCAGCAGAGTGTGATTCTCTCCATGTATTGATAACAGGAATCATCTGTCCTCTTCCCATCACAGCAGATATAAATCTACAGACCTAATGTAGGACGCAGCGCACCTTTAAATAATTTGTCAGTCCTTCTTCCTTTTGAATGAGACGACTTTAGCATTTCCAGTGTGTAATGTTAAATAATAGATTACAGCTATTTGAATTATTCACTGTTAACTTGACATGGCTGTACAGTTTGAGAGCAGTCGGTTAAGCTTCTCCGTGGTTATTGTAAACACAGCACACAGAGATCTCAGCATTAATTGCAAATGTGAAAATTATAACATATTTATTTTAATGTGACAGGTAGTCAATTAGCTTTGGTGAAATGCACTGTTGTTAAATGTGACTCTGGTACAGTTCATCTCATAATATGATAAATGAACAGTTCTTCCTTAAACTGGATATTAAATCCACTCAAACTCAGAAAGATCATCGAAGATGAATCTGCAACTGTAACTAACATTGCCTTGTTAAACTTTATGAAAATATCAAATCAAGTTTTATTTATAACACATTTATAAACGATGTGTGGTGGAGCCAAAGTGCTGAACATAAAATAACAATAGCCTACAGTAGAGACACTTTACAGCAAATACAACAGCACAGATTGTTCAGAGTATCAGTGTGAGAAAAACTACCCCCTCTGTCCTTAGACCCTCTGTCCTTAGATCCTCTGTCCTTAGACCCTCTGTCCTCAGACCCTCTGTCCTCAGACCCTCTGTCCTTAGACCCTCTGTCCTTAGACCCTCTGTCCTTTGACCCTCTATCCTTAGACCCTCTGTCCTCAGACCCTCTGTCCTCAGACCCTCTGTCCTTAGACCCTCTGTCCTTAGACCCTCTGTCCTTTGACCCTCTATCCTTAGACCCTCTGTCCTTAGACCCTCTGTCCTTAGACCCTCTGTCCTTTGACCCTCTATCCTTAGACCCTCTGTCCTTAGACCCTCTGTCCTTAGACCCTCTGTCCTTTGACCCTCTATCCTTAGACCCTCTGTCCTTTGACCCTCTATCCTTAGACCCACTGTCCTTAGACCCTCTGTCCTTAGACCCTCTGTCCTTTGACCCTCTATCCTTAGACCCTCTGTCCTTAGACCCTCTGTCCTTAGACCCTCTGTCCTTTGACCCTCTATCCTTAGACCCTCTGTCCTCAGACCCTCTGTCCTTTGACCCTCTATCCTTAGACCCTCTGTCCTTAGACCCTCTGTCCTTAGACCCTCTGTCCTTTGACCCTCTATCCTTAGTCCCTCTGTCCTCAGACCCTCTATCCTTAGACCCTCTGTCCTTAGACCCTCTGTCCTCAGACCCTCTGTCCTTAGACCCTCTGTCCTTAGACCTTCTATCCTTAGACCCTCTGTCCTTAGACCCTCTGTCCTTAGACCCTCTATCCTTAGACCCTCTGTCCTCAGACCCTCTGTCCTTAGACCCTCTGTCCTTAGACCCTCACATCGTACAAGGAAAAACTTCAGAAGAAAACCCCACAGTTTAAAGGGAACATGGGAGAAACCTCAGGGAGAGCAACAGAGGAGGGATCCCTCTCCCAGGACGGACAGATGTGCAATAGATGCCGTGTGTAAATCCAAGAGATAATACATTTTACAGCGTATAGACCGAATGTTAGGAAATGCATGTGTCTGTAATAAGATGAATCCACAAGGATGTAATATGCTTCAAAGAGACACAGTTACAGACATTTTAGGGTAGAGGAGACCAAGGTTGCGTTCCAATAGTCCATTTCTCTTAGGAACCTTCCTAACGGAGTGAAATGACCCGGAAGTCCCTCAGTGGCAGCCATGATAAGTGCCGTTCCAATTCTCCAAATGAAAGGACAGGAGGTTTCAAACTTCCTTTATAACCTCCTTTAGCTTAGGAACCACTGGACCTCCCTCACCGAAAGGAGAGGAGAAAATGCTGCCCCACAATGCATTGCAGCCGCAGCATTTGCCGTCACTCAACAGTCGGCCGTTCACGGAAACAACCGATTATGACGGAGAAATGATATCATGAAAGTTACGGTGCTCATTAAGCTAAACGTATGTGGTAAGTTGCCAAAGTGCTTTGTTCTGAACGTTCATCAGTATTATAATCAAAGAGAGAAATATGAACGTTAGTTTTTACTGAAATGATCAAATAAAGTCAACATCTCACAGTCTTCACTGAGCTGTGGGGTTTGTTCAACTTTTAAAGATGTTTGAATGGTGATGTACACAGTGATAGATGTTAAGGACTAACGTTTATAATAAATACATCTGTATTGATTTAAGATCTTTTCATCAATCATACGTATTGGGATCATTTGTATTAATGAGGACCGGAGGGAGAGGGGGACGAGCAGAAGCTTCACTTTCCTTTTTATTTCAATTCCAGCTTTGGTCCTGAAGAATCTGTTTCTCTGTTGTCCACGTTCATAAAGCATAAAGCAACAGCGTCAGAGCACAGAGTCTCTAGATGAGTTCACAGTAGTCCCTCGTTCTTATTGAACATCCATGTTGTAGTCCGCTGTATAGAGAACTGTAGTTTCCATAGTTTCCCCACAGCAGCAGACGCACATTCAGGACGTCCGCTGGCGCATCAGAAACACGTGGGATAGTGAAAGTGCAGTCGATTCTCTAAAGTACCGCGGTCTCTTCTCCTAAGTCCTTTTGAATTCTCCTATCCACTATCCCTTAACCCCGTGACCTTTCACTCAGAGGTCAAGGGATAGGAGATAGGGTTAGAATTTAGGAGCTGATTTTTGGATTATCGGAACGCAACCCTCGTTAACTTTAGATGTCGGATGAAGGACATGAAGAGACAAACATGGATTGGTTTCAATAGCAAACATTTATTCAAATCCTTTGGACAACACAATGTTTGACATCTACCCTGATCAACTTAGCTTTAAGTTACACATGGGCACGTTTTGTTTTGCAAAAACTTAACCATTGAGCTTTTAAATGTTTTAACTCAGATGATGGTAAGTGCCGCATAGAAATCAAACAGCTGATCACAGTATCAGAAAACTTTAATGATTGATCCAGGGACAACACAAGAGGCTACACATGCAGAGAGCATCCATCCACAGCTCTACATATTCACATCACTCTCTGATTTCAAATCAGACCGTTCTCTTCAACAATACCATATAATTGTTCACGTCATATCTGCTCTTTTCATATCCAATCCATACTTTGTATAAGATATGTTATTCTGGTGGGTTTCTTGGTGTTTCTCTGTGGCATCCGAGGTGCAGTATGGACAGTATAAGGCTTCGACCTGTGCTGTGCAGATCCGCCTCATAGAGAAGTCCGTTACTGGTTCACATGCACAGTACCATCTGCTGCACATAAAGAGTCTTGTACTGTAAATATTTAGATTATTCTTGAATAAATGAGTGCTGTATTGTTTCAGAGGGTAGCTGTTAAGTATTGCACATCATAAGACATTGTTAGTCACAAATGTGGTCCTCTTTGAGACTTTGAAAATGTTGCTGCACTGAGTTGGTTTTCTGTCTAACTCTCAGGTATGGGTTATAACGTTTTGATAGCAGTGCCAAAAAGCTAACAATATAGTAGTCCAATTATTGATTTGTGTTGGTACAGCTTGTAAAAAGCACAAGAGAACAAAGAAGGATATTTCTGGTGATGTTTATCTTAATGTCTGAAGGTAAAAGACTGAGTTAGCTCATGCTAACGTGCAACCGTCATTGGATTGTGTCGGACACGTTTTACTACCCCCACTATTTTCTCAGGTATCCTTTTCAACATTTTGAGAGCAGTCATAAAGTCTGCACAGGATTACTCCATTAAAGGAAAAGAAAACAAGCCTGGAGGGGCCACAGTACTAAAAAAAGATTGTCATATAACTCTTACTTTGAAACACAGAAATAAAGAACATTTCTAAACACAACTGTAAATTCAATCATTTCGAAATGTTAGCACATTTATGATAAAAATATTGTGATATACTATAGAAAAGTGACCATGCAAATCTTATTGGGCTATAGAATAAATCATGTACATACTAATGCAGGAATGCTGTACAAATACTGAAAATGACATCCCATGATTTATATTCTTTTGGATGAAAAATTCTAGCTTTGGCAAATGTGCTCATATTCACTCTGCCTGTTCTTTGTTTGTATAAAATGTAATGTATGTCCAGTGGGTGCTAATTAAACCACTGACAAACTAATACATATGTAAACCACTGTAAACAACAGGTCGAATTTTTACTGGCGTAAAAAGAAAACATATTGAAGGGTTTATCAAAGAGCTGGCAGCCTCTACTGTACGTGTCATACACTGAGTTGGATTTGGTATAAAATCTGCTGGTTGGTTTATGGCACAAAGAAAATGAGTTCACAGCCCGAAACTGGAAGGAGGTGCTGTTCATCGCGTGCAAACGGCATATCGTGAAGGAGCGGTAAAATTAAGACCCAAAGGTTTCATTTGATGACTGAAATTATACTGAGGTATTACCATTCAACAACAATATCAGATATTCCTGTTGGAAATGCTACATGTAGTTACTTTAGCTCTGCGAATAGTTCTGAGCACAGTGCTTACAGAGAGTTTGCTGTCAGAACCAAAACCAATCACAACCAAAGTCAGAACCAGAGCCCCATATCAGTCTGGCTCCGTGCATCTAGTACTGTCGTAGGTCCCTGATGGGTCATCTCATCAGAAAGACTTCTCTAAAAACAACTGAGATATCAACATGAACAGGAAAGGAGAAGTGGTAACCCTACTTGGCATTGCTCCCCCCCTACTTGGCATTGCTCCCCCCTACTTGGCATTGCTCCCCCCTACTTGGCATTGCTCCCCCCTACTTGGCATTGCTCCCCCCTACTTGGCATTGCTCCCCCCCCCCCCCCCCTACTTGGCATTGCTCCCCCCTACTTGGCATTGCTCCCCCCCCCCCCTACTTGGCATTGCTCCCCCCCCGGTCCTCTCATTGCTCCCGTAAACTGGGACCAGTTGAACAGTGTTTGTGATGAGCTAAAGTAATGGTGTTGTTTCTGAGAACTTGATGATGATGATATACTTTATTAATCTCCGTGGGGAAATTGTTTCTCTGCATTTGACCCATCCTGTGTTAGGAGCAGTGTGCTGCCATTTTGAACGGCGCCCGGGGAGCAGTGTAGGGAACGGTGCCTTGCTCAGGGACACCTCTGTAGCACTTGGTCTTTCGGGGACTTGAACTAGTGACCTTCTAGTTACCAAGCCAAGTCCCTTCGACTTCGCCACCACCGCCACTTGTCTTTGTGTTTGGGTTGGTTTGACATGTGTTCCCTGCCCTCAAAGCCTTCAGCTCCATCCCACCCATGTTTCCTTTAAAACCATATATTCTGCTATGTTTATGACTCACTACTGTGGTGTTAACTGGGAATGTAAGAAGACACTGCTGACGCCATTTAATTTTTAAAACTGTTAAAAAACGCATCGTAAATCTCCATCTAACCCACTAATGTAGGTTAACCTTAGTTTGTTCATAATGGTAGTACGGACAGGCATAATTTCTGACTCTCAGCTGTTGTGCGTTCAGTGAAAATCGATTAGTGTGGATGAAGTCTTAAAAAGGTTCCAGTCACCTGTTTTAATCCTGAGACCCCGGACATGACCCCGCCCCCTCCCACTTTGTTACTGTTAAGGTTGGCGTTTTGGCTGTTGGTTTGACAGAAGGAAGTGTATTTCAGAACATATGAAAGACACTTGAAGCAGATCCAAACTCAGCTGGGTGCCTGGAGGTCAAGTATTGCATTAAGTTTGGAAATGTGCTAATTCTCCTCCGGTCTGTTTAACACAATCTTCCCGTTTGCTGCTTTTTGTGCTGTAGGTATGAACATCAACACGTTAGTAGAGATAAGGTCAGGGTTTACACTATACAAGGTACAGTAAACGCATAGGTCAGTGCAAGTCACAGCATATTAGACCTCATAGCTACAGAAGGAATGCTAAGCACACTTATGGTTCAGAAACAGTATTGATTATGTGGTATCTGTACAGGAGAAACACGAAGTACAAAACATATATTTGTGACGTCCTAATGTCATTGTTGCTCACTCTAAAATAATTCATCTTTTCTCTATTCAAATTACACAATATGTTGTATAGTAAATTGTATTTTGTGGTGTAGCACCCTTTCCACAGTATTTACAGTGCAGGGAAGTACACTGGTTCGATAGCTATGGTACAATTAGTGTTGCCGTTTGCTACAGTTTCAACAGCAGTGTGCTCATTTCTTTTTTTCAGAAAATGTATATCCAAAACATACGTAATTGTTTAAAAAAGGTTTTCTTGTCCCAAAAGCATTACACTAGGTTTCCTTAGGAGTGACTACAAAGTACACAGTGATTCTTTCTACAACACTTAAAGGTTGTGATTCAGTGTAAACATGTACAAAATCTCATGCTGAATGAAACCTTTTCTTCTGCAGTTATTATGATATTTACAATGGCAGGCCGCCTTGCATTAGTAGCTACTTCTCCTCTGACGAGTTATTCCTTGAAAACAGGAGTCATGGACGTTCCCTTGTAGAAAACGTTCCGGGCGTTGTCCGGGCTGTTGGCTCTCTCTGGAATCAGGATGATATTATTGCCTTTCCTCCGCAGGGTGGACTCCCGGCTGGAGGCGACAGAAAGGGTTTCTGAAGCGCTCTCTCCGCCTCCTCCAGATCCATCCCCTGGAGTGACCCTGATGGTGGACATGCCCTGAGGGTGGACCCGGTGCTCGGACTGGCTTGGGTTCTGCGTGTGAACAGTGACTATGGTGGGGGTGCTGTTGGTGGCAGTTGTGGTTACGATGTGATTGGCCTGCTTTCTGTCGATGGACCCTTCACGTATGGAGTCTGAGCTTTCTGAGTCTCTGTTCAGATCGTTGAGCTCAAAGGACTGCCTTAGGCTCCCACCACCTCCTCCTGATCCTCCTCCTGATCCTCCTCCTGATCCTCCTCCTGATCCTCCTCCTGGTCCACATGTCCCTGGACCTCCAGCAGCTCCAGTGCCATGATCCAGGGATCGCCACCTCCACGTTCCACTTCCATCTGTAGCTGGAGCTTGGATGACTGGTCTGTCGTTTTCAGGGTGGGCCTCTACTCTGACAATTGCTCCGGTGCTTCCTGAAATACTGCCTGAAGTGCTACCCAGGGAGCCGGGCCCCGTAGTGCTTGTGGGGTCTGGATCGGGTAGCACCCGGTACCGAGCTGAGCCCGGGCAGCTCCCGCTGGCGCTGCAGCCGATGCTGCTCTCATCTAAGCTCTTGGAATGGATCTGCAGGAGGCCCTGTTGCTTGGACATAGCTATCACTTGCATAATTCGAGGCTGGGTGTTGTGGCCGTTCTCGTTAGTCCTGAAGGCGGTGGTCTTCTCTGCAGCCCGCTGCCAGTTGGCCTGAACTGTGCTGTTTATTGTGGACATCCCCTCACTCTCTCCTCCTCCCCCCATCCTCGGGTTGGTTGTGTTGTAGTTCTCATGAGCTTCCTCTGGTATGTGGACCAGCTGTGAAGACCCAGGTCTAGACTGCATGGATATCCTGGCCCCTCCGGTGATTCCGCTGCAGTTACTGGGCAGGGTGGTACTAGCACCTGTGGCCAGTTTGGACATGTAAGAATGACTGTCAAAGCCGCCATTCAGGCCCATAGCCATGGGCTCAGAGCTAGACCGGAGCTCCATACTGCCGTGGTGGTGAGGGTGCTGGGAGGACTGGCCGGAGGACGAGTCTACAGAAGAGGAGAAGGAGTCCGGGACCTGCAGGGAGCATTTGTGGTTGTTCTTACTTTTCCACTGAGACAGGAGCTGCTTGGATCGACTGGAGTCCATGGAGGCATGGTGGAGGGTGGCGGCGTGCCGTCTGGCTGCCTCCTCATATGCTGCCATTGCCTGGGGGGTGTGGACCCGCGGAAGAGTTTGGCTGAAGGTCATGATGGCGTCTTTGCTTTGGGGGCTGCGGGGGGATATCACTTCCACCTCTGCACTGGAGCGCTTCAGACTGTCTTCAGACCTCTGCTGGGGGAGGCCACGGTGCAGGAGGCCCTCGGAGTGAGAGGTGTGCATGCCGAGCTCCCCAGCCATGCTGGCTTTCATCTGCAGGTGGTGGAGCACCGCCTCCTGGCTGATGTGGGGCAAGGAGCAGGGGGGCCGGTGTAGGATCGGAGGGGGACTGGCACTGGCCTCCTCGCTGGGCTGAAAATTTCCAACTGCATACAAACCCTGTTGCCAAAGGAAAGAGAGGAGTGTTATGTGTGGGGGGGGGGGGGGGGGGGGGGGTAATGGTCTCTATCTGCATCATTTCAAACAGAATGAATGAGTTACATTTGCGGTGGTCCACCACTGTGTGAATGTGTGGCTTTAACAGTACGATTCCACTTGTATTTTAACATTGTTGGCCCCTACCAGGTAGACAGCAATAGCCCCTCCAAGCAGGAAGCCCAGGTAGACGTCGATGGCGTGGTTCTTGTACTGAATGATCCGGGTCAGACCGCATATAATGGCACAGATAATAAAGGAGAAGACCAGGAGAGGCTTGAGCAGCTTGGATGAGTCTGTCAAAGTGCTGTTGAAGTACATCTGTGGACAGAGGAGCACACACAGATTCCAGCAGAGTTAATCCATCACCACTCACTGGCTGCTGCTCTGTCGTTAGGGCTTCATGGAGCAGGCGTCTGGTTACTCACCGAAACATAGACAGCGGCGAAGGAAGCCAGGGTAGCATGCTGCGACGGGAAGGATTTTCTGCAAGAGATGAAAGAACAAAAATAGACTCAGTCATCATTCGTGTGTGTGTGTGTGTGTGTGTGTGTGTGTGTGTGTGTGTGTGTGTGTGTGTGTGTGTGTGTGTGTGTGTGTGTGTGTGTGTGTGTGTGTGTGTGTGTGTGTGTGTGTGTGTGTGTGCGTGCGTCACAACAGGAGGTGGAAGGAGGTATAAAAGCATAATGGGGTACCTCAAACACCACCCACATGACATAGCATGTTAGTGTATCTCTATAGCATGTTAGTGCATCTCTATAGCATGTTAGTGTATCTCTATAGCATGTTAGTGTATCTCTATAACATGTTAGTGTATCTCTATAGCATGTTAGTGTATCTCTATAGCATGGTAGTGCATCTCTATAGCATATTAGTGCATCTCTATAGCATGCTAGTGCATCTCTATAGCATGTTAGTGCATCTCTATAGCATGCTAGTGCATCTCTATAGCATGTTAGTGCATCTCTTTAAACAACTCTCCTGTTATCTCAATCAGAACAACCTTCTGGATCCGCACCAGTCTGGTTTCAAGGCAGGTCACTCCACAGAAACTGCTCTCATTGCTGTCACGGAGGAACTGCACACTGCCAAAACTGCATCCCTCTCCTCTGTCATCATCCTGTTGGACCTGTCTGCTGCATTCAACACGGTGAATCATCAGATCCTCCTTCGCACTCTCCAAAAACTTGGAGTTTCAGGCTCTGCACTTTCCCTCCTCACCTCATACCTGAAAGACCGTACCTACAGGGTGACTTGGAGAGGGTCTGAGTCCGACCCTTGTCAATTAACTACGGGGGTCCCTCAGGGCTCTGTTCTTGGTCCCCTCCTCTTCTCCTTGTACACAAACTCGCTCGGATCAGTCATTAGCCCGCATGGTTTTTCATACCACTGCTACGCTGACGACACCCAATTAATTCTGTCCATCCCGCTCAGAGACCCAGGTCTTCGCACGCATCTCTGCTTGTCTAGCTGACATCTCTCAGTGGATGTCTGCTCACCACCTCAAGCTCAACCTTGACAAGACTGAGCTGCTCTTCCTCCCGGGAAAAGATTGTCCAACTCTTGACCTAACAATCAACATCGGCACCTCAGTTGTTTCCCCGACTCAGACTGCAAGGAATCTGGGTGTGACCCTAGATAACAACCTGTCCTTCACTGCAAACATCGCTGCTACAACCCGTTGCTGCAGAAACACGCTTTACAACATCAGGAAGATACGTCCCCAGCTGACTCAGAAAGCGACTCAGGTTCTGGTCCAGGCTCTCGTCATCTCACGCCTAGACTACTGCAACTCCCTCCTGGCTGGTCTACCTGCTTGTGCCATCCGACCTCTGCAGCTCATCCAGAATGCAGCGGCTCGTCTGGTCTTCAACCTTCCTAAATTCTCCCACACCACTCCGCTCCTCCGCTCGCTTCACTGGCTTCCAGTAACTGCTAGAATCCACTTCAAGACACTGGTACTTGCTTACCGTGCTGCGAATGGATCTGGCCCTTCCTACATCCAGGACATGGTTAAACCGTACACCCCAGCGCGTGCACTACGCTCTGCATCAGCCAAACGACTCGTTGCGCCCTCGCCGCGAGGGGGACCCAAGTTCCCATCGGCGAAAACACGTGGGTTTGCTGTCCTGGCTCCAAGATGGTGGAATGAGCTCCCATTGACATCAGGACGGCAGATAGCTTACACACCTTCCGGCGCAAACTGAAAACTCATCTCTTTCGACTCCACTTCGAGCGTTAGAACGATTAACGAAGCACTTTTATACTAATAAAGGACTGGCTTACCTAAAGCCAGTTGAGTAGCACTTGAAATGTTTGGCTCTATGAAACCTGATGTACTTTATGATTCTCTTTCTTCAAGGTTGTGTCTTCCTGGTCGAATGTACTTATTGTAAGTCGCTTTGGATAAAAGCGTCAGCTAAATGCAATGTAATGTAATGTAATCTCTATAGCATGTTAGTGTATCTCTATAGCATGTTAGTGTATCTCTATGGCATGTTAGTGCATCTCTATAACATGTTAGTGCATCTCTATAGCATGTTAGCATGTTAGTGTATCTCTATAGCATGTTAGTGCATCTCTATAGCATGTTAGTGTATCTCTATAGCATGTTAGTGTATCTCTATAGCATGTTAGTGCATCTCTATAGCATGTTAGTACATCTCTATAGCATGTTAGTGTATCTCTATAGCATGTTAGTGTATCTCTATAGCATGTTAGTGTATCTCTATAGCATGTTAGTGCATCTCTATAGCATGTTAGTGTATCTCTATAGCATGTTAGTGTATCTCTATAGCATGTTAGTGCATCTCTATAGCATGTTAGTACATCTCTATAGCATGTTAGTGTATCTCTATAGCATGTTAGTGTATCTCTATAGCATGTTAGTGTATCTCTATAGCATGTTAGTGCATCTCTATAGCATGTTAGTGTATCTCTATAGCATGTTAGTCCATCTCTATAGCATGTTAGTGCATCTCTATAGCATGTTAGTGCATCTCTATAGCATGTTAGTGTATCTCTATAGCATGTTAGTGTATCTCTATAGCATGTTAGTGTATCTCTATAGCATGTTAGTGCATCTCTATAGCATGTTAGTGTATCTCTATAGCATGTTAGTGCATCTCTATAGCATGTTAGTGTATCTCTATAGCATGTTAGTGCATCTCTATAGCATGTTAGTGTATCTCTATAGCATGTTAGTCCATCTCTATAACATGTTAGTGCATCTCTATAGCATGTTAGTGTATCTCTATCTCTATAGCATGTTAGTGTATCTCTATAGCATGTTAGTGTATCTCTATAGCATGTTAGTGCATCTCTATAGCATGTTAGTGTATCTCTATAGCATGTTAGTGTATCTCTATCTCTATAGCATGTTAGTGCATCTCTATAGCATGTTAGTGCATCTCTATAGCATGTTAGTGTATCTCTATAGCATGTTAGTGTATCTCTATAGCATGTTAGTGCATCTCTATAGCATGTTAGTGCATCTCTATAACATGTTAGTGCATCTCTATAGCATGTTAGTGTATCTCTATAGCATGTTCTCTATAGCATGTTAGTGCATCTCTATAGCATGTTAGTGCATCTCTATAGCATGTTAGTGTATCTCTATAGCATGTTCTCTATAGCATGTTAGTGCATCTCTATAGCATGTTAGTGCATCTCTATAGCATGTTCTCTATAGCATGTTAGTGCATCTCTATCTCTATAGCATGTTAGTGTATCTCTATAGCATGTTAGTGTATCTCTATAGCATGTTAGTGCATCTCTATAGCATGTTAGTGTATCTCTATAGCATGTTAGTGCATCTCTATAGCATGTTAGTGTATCTCTATAGCATGTTAGTGTATCTCTATAGCATGTTAGTGTATCTCTATAGCATGTTAGTGCATCTCTATAGCATGTTAGTGTATCTCTATAGCATGTTAGTGCATCTCTATAGCATGTTAGTGTATCTCTATAGCATGTTAGTGTATCTCTATAGCATGTTAGTGTATCTCTATAGCATGTTAGTGTATCTCTATAGCATGTTAGTGCATCTCTATAGCATGTTAGCATGTTAGTGTATCTCTATAGCATGTTAGTGCATCTCTATAGCATGTTAGTGTATCTCTATAGCATGTTAGTGTATCTCTATAGCATGTTAGTGCATCTCTATAGCATGTTAGTGTATCTCTATAGCATGTTAGTGCATCTCTATAGCATGTTAGTGTATCTCTATAGCATGTTAGTGTATCTCTATAGCATGTTAGTGCATCTCTATAGCATGTTAGTGTATCTCTATAGCATGTTAGTCCATCTCTATAGCATGTTAGTGTATCTCTATAGCATGTTAGTGTATCTCTATAGCATATTAGTGTATCTCTATAGCATGTTAGTGCATCTCTATAGCATGTTAGTCCATCTCTATAACATGCTAGTGCATCTCTATAGCATGCTAGTGCATCTCTATAGCATGTTAGTGCATCTCTATAGCATGTTAGTGTATCTCTATAGCATGCTAGTGTATCTCTATAACATGCTAGTGTATCTCTATAACATGCTAGTGTATCTCTATAACATGTTAGTGTATCTCTATAGCATGTTAGTGTATCTCTATAGCATGTTAGTGCATCTCTATAGCATGTTAGTGTATCTCTATAGCATGTTAGTGCATCTCTATAACATGCTAGTGTATCTCTATAACATGCTAGTGTATCTCTATAGCATGTTAGTGTATCTCTATAGCATGTTAGTGTATCTCTATAGCATGTTAGTGCATCTCTATAGCATGTTAGTGTATCTCTATAGCATGTTAGTGCATCTCTATAGCATGTTAGTGCATCTCTATAGCATGTCTCTAGCTGAAGTGTGAACTGCAGTGCTCTGCTGCAGTGTGGCAGTGGCAGCTTAGCTGTGCTCCATAATGAAGTGAACCTGTGGCCCAGTTTCTCCGCTCCAACACAATGACCTACTTCTGACGACTCCTCAGAGCAGCCTCCTCTCTGCTCCGGACTCCAATGAGTTAGAGCATTCATGCAGTTATATGTATATCTCTGTGTGTGTATGTGTGTGTGTGTATATGTATGTGTCGTGTGTGTGTTTGTGTGTGTGTGTGTGTGTGTGTATGTGTGGGCCGTGTGAGTGTGTTTGTATGTGTGTGTGTCGTGTGTGTGTGTGTGTGTGTGTGTGTGCGTGTGTGTGTGTGTGTGTGTGTGTGTCACTATCTATGTTGGAACCAAGAAGTAAATATATGAAAGTTATTTCCAAGAAGAACAAAAGAAGGTATTTTACCACAAAAAGTCTTTAGTAGGTAATTATTTAGTAACCTGTCTTAAAATACATTTTCGGGACGCTCTGCCCACATCCTTGTCCCCGCCCCCTCTGGGTGAGAACATCAGCTGATTGGTCAGAGCTTCCCTGACACGCTGTGTAATAAACAGACTGTCACTTTTTGATACGGCTGTGTCCTGTCATGCTTCAGCAGTGTCTGCACCTCGTCTTGAACTGACAGTACCACAGACAGTCTGATCTACAGCACAAAGCCTGCTCACTGCTGGTGACAACTGCGTCTTCTTTTATTCACTTTATTCAGCATAACTTCCTTTTTGTTTCCTATCCGTCAGACTGGGGATTACCCAGAGTGCACTTGAAGGTTAAACACATGCAGAGAGCCTGACCTGCCCTGGGTGATGGCTGCAGGGTCGCCCCCGGAGCAGATGTCGTCCATGACATAAGGATTCTGCTCACAGCTGACGTTGGTGTAGTTGGGTTTACACACCGTGAGGAAGTAGGGCGCCGGGTAGCCGGTCATCAGCTGCAGGATGTCGGTGATGAGGGCCGTGGCACAGAGACCGAAAGCATGAACGCCTGAGGATAGAAGATGGGATGTGAAGGAACAAGCTACAGGTACACAAAGGTGTACACACACACACACACACACACACACACACACACACACACACACACACACACACACACACACACACACACACACACACACACACACACACACACACACACACACACACACACACGCACACACTTCCTCATAGCATTAGTTAATGTCGGTTTTTGTTCCATGAAAGAGATTTACGTTGCCAAATGTTTTTTAAAATGATCCGTCAGATGCTCTCAGTGTGTAGAAATGAAAGAGTGTGTACCAACGAAGCGCACAGCTCTGCGTATGAAGGAGTTGAAGTTGCAGCCAGCAGCGTTGATGTTCGCCTCGGCCCCCCCGCCACTCTTCCTCCGAGACGTACAGCAGAAAACAATGGCCTCCCCGATCATTATCTGTCAACACACAACATATTGAGGTTAAAGCTGATTAAGATGGAGGATATTTAAGTCCTCTGGATGGATCCTCACCGTGATGGCCGGCCCGGCGAAGGCCAGGCTGAGCAGCATCAGGAAGGGGATGACCTCGTGGTTGGGGTCGATGTAAGGGAGGCTCAGGCTGCGGTCGTGGCAGTTGAAGCCAGACTTCACCGGCTTGAACACATCCGTCCACTCCAGGAAGTAGAGACTGACCACGGACGACACCAGGATGGGAAGCTGTGGAGGAACAGAGAGACCTGATGAACGTCTGAGGAGACGCACGACACTCTCAAAGCAATACAACAGAAACACATCACCCTACGCTTCAACGCTTCAATGACCATGCTAATTTGATTTAATAATGAGAAATGGCATGGACAAATGTTTCACGACCTGAAGGGAGGAGACGCTGCTGATGGAATGAATCTTATAAACATAAAGAGTTGAATCCTCCTCAATCGTTCACAGAGCTACTTCATGTTTATTACGGTCAGTCTTCATTAAAGACTCAGCAGTTCAATCCCAACCATGAAATATAGAGCTGGTGCTTCAGCTGCAGCCAGTGGTGAGCTGCTCAGCAGACTGTGGTTATTTAAATCTCCGGACATGCTGGAAGACTGCAGTGATGCTGACCTGTCACACTGCCGTCCAATCAGAGCATAGGCGTCCTTTGCGCTGGGGACACCACTTTATAAAAGCATAACTTATAAATGTTCTTATAAATAGCGTCACTAAGAAATGTAAAACAAGAGGGTAACCAGTCAGGAGCAGGAGGTGCATTGTGGGAGCTGAATGTGGCCTAGAGCATCATGGGAGTTATGATGCAGCTTAATACCCTGACCCCCGGGTACAGCGAGTACCACTATATTGCTGCAGGGTAGACTTCAGTATAACTGTGGGGGAAATGTCTGAACAGTAACATATATGCTAGCTTGTAGCTTGTAGCGACACTCATCAGTTCAGGTGCTCAGCAGCAGTGATGCATGTGTGTCACTGAACACAGTTTCTAACAGAAGTATGCCGACTCAGCACACAGTCCGGTCAACCCTGTTCGCTGCTCACTCTCTCACTGAGGTCTGATCTCCTTCCTGTTTCCAGCAGGCGACGAGCACAGGAAGTCACTCATACGAACTACATGAGAACCTCTCTGGAAACTCTCTGCATGTTTTAACAGCCACACTTTCTTCTCAAGTTGTTTACAAGGTGTTTGGCTCGACAACAGTCCCTCCAGTCGGGCCTCAGAGCCTGCAGAGGGTCATGAGGCATGGATAATGGATTTGGCTGGCAGTGGTTATGGTGGGGGCCCGACTGGTAACTGTACAGGTCTCTCAGAAAAAGAGTGTTTGCAGTGAACTCTGAGAGAGGCTTTGGATGGAGCAAAGGGAAAATTAAGGAAAGCTGATTCTACTGAAGCTAAAAAAGGTTCTTACATTACACAGCTGGTAAGTTCCAACTGATCTGACTGCATTCAGAGTCCTGCTTCTTCCACAGAGCCTCTCTGCTGTCCTGCTTCTTCCAGAGAGTCTCTCTGCTGTCCTGCTTCTTCCACAGAGTCTCTCTGCTGTCCTGCTTCTTCCACAGAGCCTCTCTGCTGTCCTGCTTCTTCCACAGAGCCTCTCTGCTGTCCTGCTTCTTCCAGAGAGTCTCTCTGCTGTCCTGCTTCTTCCACAGAGTCTCTCTGCTGTCCTGCTTCTTCCACAGAGCCTCTCTGCTGTCCTGCTTCTTCCACAGAGCCTCTCTGCTGTCCTGCTTCTTCCACAGAGTCTCTCTGCTGTCCTGCTTCTTCCAGAGAGTCTCTCTGCTGTCCTGCTTCTTCCACAGAGTCTCTCTGCTGTCCTGCTTCTTCCACAGAGCCTCTCTGCTGTCCTGCTTCTTCCACAGAGTCTCTCTGCTGTCCTGCTTCTTCCACAGAGTCCTCTCTGCTGTCCTGCTTCTTCCACAGAGTCTCTCTGCTGTCCTGCTTCTTCCACAGAGTCCTCTCTGCTGTCCTGCTTCTTCCACAGAGTCCTCTCTGCTGTCCTGCTTCTTCCACAGAGTCTCTCTGCTGTCCTGCTTCTTCCACAGAGTCTCTCTGCTGTCCTGCTTCTTCCACAGAGTCCTCTCTGCTGTCCTGCTTCTTCCACAGAGCCTCTCTGCTGTCCTGCTTCTTCCACAGAGCCTCTCTGCTGTCCTGCTTCTTCCACAGAGTCTCTCTGCTGTCCTGCTTCTTCCACAGAGTCTCTCTGCTGTCCTGCTTCTTCCACAGAGCCTCTCTGCTGTCCTGCTTCTTCCACAGAGTCTCTCTGCTGTCCTGCTTCTTCCACAGAGTCTCTCTGCTGTCCTGCTTCTTCCACAGAGTCTCTCTGCTGTCCTGCTTCTTCCACAGAGTCTCTCTGCTGTCCTGCTTCTTCCAGAGAGTCTCTCTGCTGTCCTGCTTCTTCCACAGAGTCTCTATGCTGTCCTGCTTCTTCCACAGAGTCTCTCTGCTGTCCTGCTTCTTCCACAGAGCCTCTCTGCTGTCCTGCTTCTTCCACAGAGCCTCTCTGCTGTCCTGCTTCTTCCACAGAGTCTCTCTGCTGTCCTGCTTCTTCCACAGAGTCTCTCTGCTGTCCTGCTTCTTCCAGAGAGCCTCTCTGCTGTCCTGCTTCTTCCAGAGAGCCTCTCTGCTGTCCTGCTTCTTCCACAGAGCCTCTCTGCTGTCCTGCTTCTTCCACAGAGTCTCTCTGCTGTCCTGCTTCTTCCACAGAGCCTCTCTGCTGTCCTGCTTCTTCCACAGAGCCTCTCTGCTGTCCTGCTTCTTCCAGAGAGCCTCTCTGCTGTCCTGCTTCTTCCAGAGAGCCTCTCTGCTGTCCTGCTTCTTCCACAGAGCCTCTCTGCTGTCCTGCTTCTTCCAGAGAGCTGTTCTGGAGGATTTATACTTTAGTCCCCTTCTAAAGGGGGACTCCTGTGCAGGGTCGGCGTCATGAGGGGTCATTCACGGGCCATGCCCCCCCAAATGAGTCACTGTGACCCCCCAACGCAGGGTGGGCAAGCCTTGCTACTTTGCCGTTTTTAAAAAAAAAAAATCATATGAGTGAAAACGTTTCCACTAAAGGTTTTTTGTGTGAAATACGTCAGAAATAAAGAATACAAATATGAAACACAGCCTGAGCTGTGCTCACTGCTGCTCTCTGATTGGTGTGTTGCTTGACCAATGACCCCCGCCCTTTGCTTTGTTATCATTACGTGGCTGTGTGTTTAGATGCAACCCAGTCTCACGGCATTTCGTGTTCACCAACACGATTTCCCCCTTTTTTTCGTGTCGCACAGCACGATTTTAAAAGCAATGTATTTCTACTGGTAATGTGTTTCGTGCCTGCAGCACGTCTTTTTCTCCGGTCGGGTCGTGGGAGACCGGAAGCTGTGCGGTTCATAAAAATATGTTCTTACTCAATATCAAGCCACGATTATTGCTTTTATTTTAAATCGTATAATTTCGGACTTTTGTTGCCGTCTGTGAGGAAAATAAATGGCTCAGAGCCTCAGGATACTGAAATCTGTATTTAAAAAAAAAAAGATTTCCTTCTAATTTGTTATTCTTTTCAAAATAGCACACTGTTATTTACTCAACAATAACACACAATTATCCTTGCTTTTATTTATTGGTTTAATTCCATAATCTCGGGCTTTTTTGGCGTCCGTCAGGAACTGAATTTCAAAATAAAAATAACCGGAAACAGACATAGGCCTCTAGGAGTTTAGGACCCGACCGGAGAAAAAGACGTGCTACAGGCACGAAACACATTACCAGTAGAAATACATTGCTTTTTGCATCTTGCTGTGCAACACGAAGAAAAGGGGAAAATCGTGTTGGTGAACACGAAATGCCGTGAGACAGGGTTGTTAGATGAAAGCCCAGTGGCGATCTGTTCATCTGTTATACTGATTATACAGTAAAGCCATCGAAAATAATATGATACAGTACAAGTAGCCTACTTCTGGGTCTCTGTGTTTCATTCAAGCTCGGCTCTGTGTGTGTGTGTGTGTGTGTGTGTGTGTGTGTGTGGCACGAGCGCATTTTGTGAGTGCGCGAGTGGTAACGTGGAATGTTGTTATTAGCATCTGGTTAGCTAGCTATGCTAACGGATATAAAGAGCTGTTTCTACACCAAGGTGGAGGACAGTCCTCTCCTGTCAGACTGAGAGGATCTTATAACCTCAGCGAGGTAAGGACTCTCTCAGTGTTTAGATAGTTCACTTTAGTGTAGGTTATCTCAGTGGGTCTCAAACGGTTTGGTCACCATTTATGTAAACAAGTATTTGCGAGGAACACCTTTATATGATCATTATACTTATTAAAGAATAAGAGAATACATGAAAAACGGGTATGAAATACTATAGGACAGTAACACAAGAATACAGTTTAAAGGGGAGTGATTAGTAAAATATCAATAAAGAAAAAGTACATTTGTGTACAGTTCTGTTTCATATGGGTGCTGAGAGATGTATCCATAGATCTCTTCATTTTGCTCTCAAAGTGCACCAGATTGATGCTTTTAACTTCAATATTTTAAAACACATCTTCCCGGGGGAGCATGCCCCCAGACCCTCCTAGAGGAGGTTAGGTCCACCCCCACCTAAAACATGTTCACATGGATAGGATACTAAATACATTTGCACACTTTTATATGGTGGCCTATGTCCACATGTTTCTGTTTTGGTGGTCGTGCCACAACCGTGCATGTCTGCAGAAGTCATAGGTGCGCTGTACAAAAGCACTACACCCTGCAATGTGTGTGAAATACACTTTACAGCATGTTTTTTTAAATTGAAGTTGCGTTGGTGTTTGTGTGTTGGTTGTTGACGGCAGTGTGTGCCCCCCCTTGGTAAATGATTGCCCCCCCATTCGATTTGTTCTGGAGCCGACCCTGCTCCTGTGCTTTACATGCTGCAGTGTTGTGTTACACCTGGATATCTTGTAAAGACATATATTGGAATGTAACTGTATATAACAGACGTGCAGACCCTGCAGTCTGTGAACAGCTCCTGTATTACATAGAGCAGAGCCACAGCTGTCAGAGCATCATTGCTCATCTTCATCACCAACTGTATCTGAACAGAGACCCTCTCACAGACATATGCAGAGAAGTTTAACACACTTTCTGCAGATGAAACACACGCTTTGTGCTTTATCTGGGCTAATGGCTGTGTCCCTCCCCAAAGATATATTGTGATATAATCTTTTGTTTCCCAGTTTTAGACAGAGGCTAACTTTATACAGAGGCTAACTTCATTCAGAGGCTAACTTCATTCGGAGGCTAACTTCATTCAGAGGCTAACTTCGTTCAGAGGCTAACTTCGTTCAGAGGCTAACTTTATACAGAGGCTAACTTTATACAGAGGCTAACTTTATTCGGAGGCTAACTTCGTTCGGAGGCTAACTTCATTCGGAGGCTAACTTCGTTCGGAGGCTAACTTCGTTCGGAGGCTAACTTCGTTCGGAGGCTAACTTTATACGGAGGCTAACTTTATACGGAGGCTAACTTCGTTCAGAGGCTAACTTCGTTCAGAGGCTAAGTTTATACAGAGGCTAACTTCTGCGCTGTCAGTACGCTTGTCCATGTTTGTGATTGGTCAAATGTTGCTAACCCCGCCCCTTTCATGTGAATGCACTCTCAGCCGGACAGAGAAACCCTGGCCTGAGTTACGGCCCCTACACACGACGGCGTGCATTGCCGCTTGGCAGTGGGCGTGTCTTGAGCTTGGGGAGTTTACGCGACCAACAACCAATCACAAGAATCTCTCCTGTCAATTGCATAAAAGGTTTTACATGTCACACTTTATATGATGAACATACATGACATTAATGTCTATGGTGCTATTTTACGCACATTCCATGCTGGCTAAATACTGTCTATGTCTGCTAGCTGTCCATTCAAACGAAGTAAACTGGATATAAAATCCCCAAACAGGCGAAAACCCACCAGTTTCACCCACTGTCTCTGCCTCCTGCCTCCATGCCTGGCTCCTCCGGTTTGTATCCCGGTAGATGAACAGAGACTGATCATAAAGCACCGGCTGATTCCCTACCGCTACGATTATTTTCTCCTCCATTTTTTGGCATAAGAGGAAATGAACTGCGGTCTGGCTCTCCCAGCATACACGCGGTTTGATTGGCTAGCGCTTGTACTGGAAGATTTGCATAAGCGGGATTTGATTGGCTGACGCCTCCGTCGAAGCGTCAAAAGTAGAACATTGCTCTACTTTTGCAGCGAGCACCGCGAGAGAAGCTACGCTTTGCTCCCGCAATGCAGTTCGGCGAAATGTGACGTCAGTCACCCCATTCAAAGTGAATGGACAGAAGCGTTGAAGAGTCAACGCACGACGCCGTGTGTAGGGCCAAGCCCCCAGGAAGTGCGCCGGAGTCTGATGAGAATATTCATGCTGGTCAAACGGCGGTACTACACTTCCTTTTGGTTGCTGGGCCCGGAAACACTTTTTCCCATTGACTAACATGGGGAAAGAGACGTCTGTAACTCGTTGGATAATTTTTTTTAAACTAAATAAACTACCCAGTATGAACACTTGTATAGCCCTTATTAAAAACATTCGTTCCTCAAGTTGTAAAAATGTGCTAATAACGTTATTCTGAGAGTTATTTCCCTCGGCATTATGAACGCGCATCTAACCCACGGGACCGCGCCGCCCGGCACGTTCAAGTTACGTGTTCAGCACTACATGAGTTTCTCTTTACCCATGGATGCACAATAACAACGGACCATATCGCCTTACTGCCACGGAGCTGTAATAATGGATATATTGCACATGTTTGCTGTAATTCATCATTTGTAAAATATTATACTACATGGGCTGTATGATGTAAATCTTGTACCGTAAATGTTGTATTAAATAAAGTTAATATTACCGACGTAGATTAACGTTCCTGTAGCTTCGTATTGCACTTGCAATTGTTTTAGTTACTTGTGGGCTAACATGAATAATCACAGTTACTATCCTTTTACTCCATCACATTTCAAACAGAAATAGGCTATTGTTATTTTAACTCCACCACAGTAATCCATCATCAGCTTTACTTTTTAGATAAAGTTTTAACTCACAATTGATCATAACAGGCTTCAACATATACATTGTATATATTACCAAGTGGTTTCATGTACAACCCACACAAGTATCATGCTAAATGAAGCTCTGTTGCTTGGATATCACTAGATCCTGATGTCAGCGTAATATAAAAGTACATAACGATTGATGTGTAACTTAGCATAATTAACTAGCTAGCCGCTAGCTGCTAACTGCCGCCTCGTTAATATAAATCCAGTACCATGCTGTCATGTACGCGCGGTGCTGTTACGTGTATGCAAATTCACGTGCTTAATGTGAACGAGCCTTTTGGGCGGCGTGGTTAAAGTTGCGCATGCTCTATGAGTGCACATACGGGTACTTCTCAGGCATGCTGGGTAATCTGTGACGTTTCGCTCTCTCAAAAGTTGGGCCATTTTGTCATCATGCGCTAATGAGCAACTCTCATAGGAATGAATGAGGCCCCGCCTCCCACGCTGTATCCAGTTCTTATTATACATCCATGGTGTAGGGGCCGTTACAAAAGTAGAGCAATGTTCTACTTTTGACGCTTCGACAGAGGCGTCAGCCAATCAAATCCCGTTTACAGAGTTGATAACCAGCGTCGTAGAACCGCTTAGCGAGAGCGCGTTTGTTTTGGATTAGGTAAACCGGGTAACTCAAACATATCCAGGTTAGGTTGAACCGGCTTCGTCGTACAGGCCTCTGGGTCAGACCAGCGTTTGTTCTGCAGTTGTTAATCTGACCTTCCTGGAGAATAACACGAGCTATCTTGTTGTCAGTTTGTGAGCACGGATGTAGTTATGTGAAAAAAAAAAATATATATTTTCCTAAAAACTCACACACACTGTATGAGCGGGCCTGATTATAGGCACCAGTGTATAAGTGCTGTATTTCAGTAGAGATACCTCCAGCACTGGCCTGCTTTAACACTTCCTGCTGCAGGACAGAGACCCTGAGTGAACACAGAGCAGTGATCAAAAACAAGATAAAGGGAATCCCCTGAACGACTGAGTCACTGTGACTGCAGGAGTCCGCAGGGACGATGCATCCATCACACAGCGGTAATACTAATAATCATAGATAATATATGAAGGCACTGGGAGAGAACAGCTACAGGCCAGCAGTGAGACAGAGCGTGGATAAAGAGCACTGTGACTCTGTGACCAAGCTGCAGCAACCCCAGATATTAGGGAGGATGTGTATGTATGTGTGTGTATGTGTGTGTGTATGTGTGTGTGTGTGTGTGTGTGTGTGTGTGTGTGTGTGTGTGTGTGTGTGTGTGTGTGTGTGTGTGTGTGTGTGTGTGTGTGTGTGAGATGCTGATCTGAGCGGTATGTTATTCTGCTCACTGGGGTGATGCTGCAGCATCCACTGAGTGAGGATGCAAGTATTCAGAATATGTGTATATTGTATATGTACACACACATCTGCTGATGTGTCTCTGGTGCTCGTGCACACACTCATGCACAATAATAACATAATGAACAGAGATCAGGTCCTGTCTCCCCCACAGTCTCCCCACAGCTGAGGATCCTCTCTGATCTAGACCTTCAGACCTGGTGCAGGATCACCTGTCCGGGTCCACCTGCTCTGTCTGCAGGTGACCTACATATTAAAGCCGCGTGAGTCACACTCGTGCATCCTCTATGTGATGGGGGGGAACTCACCTCTACAAAATAGAAGCAGGGCAGCAGGCTGACGCTGTCCTTGGTGTGGCCCCCCTTCTCTCTTCCAGACATGGTGGGGCCTCGATGAGTCCGGATCCGAGACGTGAGAAGACGCTCAGCAGCGCGCCATGGAGGAGCTATCCGGCCCGGAGACCCGCAGATAGACCCGCAAACAGACCCTCACAGACCCGCAGACAGAACCCGCAAACAGACCCGCTGCAGACCCGCAGATAGACTCCGCAAACAGACCCTCACAGACCCGCTGCAGACCCGCAGATAGACCTCGCTGCAGATCCTCACCCCGCTGCAGACCCGCACATGCCCGCAAAGAACCGCACTCAGAGACCCTCACAGACACCCTCACAGAGACCCCGGCTCTGGTTTTATCTCCGCTCGTGAGGCTCGGTCCAGTCTCGAGGAGCTGTCAGATGGAGGCTCACCGAGGAGGGGGGAGGAGGAGCGCATGCGCACTGCGGATGAAGACGACGGCATAAGGACGTTAGTGCTAAGTGTGGAGGAGCTCGAATCGATCATACACACAGACCAGAAAACATCAAATGTTGTTATCTATTACATACTTCTCGTGCAGATTCAATGCTCACATTATCACGTGCCCCTGTCACGAGCCCTCATATGTGTTCACTGCCATCAGCTGATAGTGCACGAGCAGCACCACAGGGAGGTGCACTTACACACATTTATATTCTATCACTCACACACACTAATATTCTATAGCCTATATCACTTACACACATTTACATTATCAATTACACTACACACTAATATGCTATCACTTACACACACTAATATATACATATCACTCAAACACTTATACTTTATATATTTATATTCTATATCTCCATATAAATACTGAGTAAATGTACTTAGTTCCCACCTCTGCTTATACTTGATATATTTGTATTATTTATATCACTTGTATGTATGCCTTAGACCTTGATTGTTCTACAGCCTTATAGCTCAAAGGATCCAAAATATTGTGCAGATGTTCCTTCAGTGGTAATGAGACACATCACGGAGGACTGACGTGTTGATATGTGTTAATTTAAGTTGATGCTACTCCTCAGATGTGATGTTACACAGTATCTCATCTCATCCCCACAGCTCTGTTTACACTGAGTCTAATCAGCCTATGGGAGGGCTGCAACCCAATGCATTCTGGGCCATCCCTTACATCATGATATACAAATCTACACACACTAGTTCACTCATCAGCATGTCAGTGTGTGTGTGTGTGTTTACATATCTTTGTAACAGTGTTTCATAATCACACACACACACACACACACACACACACACACACACACACACACACACACACACACACACACACACACACACACACACACACACACACACACACACACACACACACACACACACACACACACACACACACACACACAGAGAGTGTGTGTCAGGCTGTGAGCTCTGTGTCAGGTGACACCTCTCCCTCAGGTAACTGTACCTGCAGATCCTCACACACTGCTCTGCTCACACACACTGTGGATCAGATGTAGCTCCCATCACACGGTGCAGGTTTCTCACTTTTCCCTAACTTTACTCAGACCCTGAAGGCAGCATCACCTCAGCCCATCGATTAATAAGCCGAGACCGAGAGAGAGACCGGAGCTCCGTGAGTCGGGCCCGCCACCGAGGCTCTGAGTCCGGCAGCAGCTCCTCCACTGACCCGCTGAGGACCCGCTGAGGACCAGGTGAGACTGCCCCCCACCAGCAGTGTGTCCTACACACACATCTTTATATATCATATATCATTAAAGTGTTATCAAAGCTTTCTTATATATACGAAAGCTTTGATAAGACTTTAATGATCAATAATTATAATCAGAAGACAGAAAGCACTTGTAATGCTGGGACAGATTAACAGGACTAAATGATATGCAGTGATGAGAAGCAGCGCCACCCAGTGGAGAGCCCGAAGACTGCAGTTAGATCATTTTAAACAGGCCTTCTTCTTCTTCTTCTTCTTCTTCTTCTTCTTCTTCTTCTTCTTCTTCTTCTTCTTCTTCTTCTTCTTCTTCTCTTCTGTCTTTCTTCTTCTT